GCCAAGTGTTGGGAATACAAAATAAGAGGAGGAGGAGGAGGAAGAAGAAGAAGAAGAAGAAGAAGAAGAAGAAGAAGAAGAAGAGAAGAAGAAGAAGAAGAAGAGAAGAAGAAGAAGAAAAGAAGAAGGAAGAAGGAGAAGGAGAAGAAGGAAAAAGTAGAAGAAGGAGAAGGAGAAGAAGGAGGAGGAGGAGGAGGAGAAGAAGGAAGAAGAAGAAGAAGAAGAAGAAGAAGAAGAAGAAGAAGAAGAAGAAGGAAGAAGGAGAAGGAGAAGGAGAAGGAGAAGGAGAAGGAAGAAGGAGAAGAAGGAGAAGGAGGAGGAGGAGAAGAAGGAGGAGGAGGAGAAGGAGAAGGAGGAGAAGAAGAAGAAGAAGAAGAAGAAGAAGAAGAAGAAGAAGAAGAAGAAGGAGAAGAAGGAAGAAGGAGAAGAAGGAGGAGGAGGAGGAGGAGGAGAAGAAGAAGAAGGAGAAGAAGAAGAAGGAGAAGAAGAAGAAGAAGAAGAAGAAGAAGAAGAAGAAGAAGGAAGAAGGAAGAAGGAGAAGGAAAAGGAGAAGGAAGAAGGAGAAGGAAGAAGGAGGAGGAGAAGGAGAAGGAGAAGGAGGAGAAGAAGAAGAAGAAGAAGAAGAAGAAGAAGAAGAAGAAGAAAAGAAGAAGAAGAGAAGAAGAAGAAGAAGAAGAAGAAGAAGAAGAAGAAGAATTTCTACCCTCTGGGATAGACAAAAGGGAGCTGAAAAGTTGAGGACAGGGGAAACACTAACCATAGAGGAGCATATTGTTAAAGTTAGCGAAGTCAGAAGCAGAGCTATAAGTGGTTGAAATATGGGCCTCAATGTGGAGGCCCATGGAAGGATCTCACCAATGGGAGAAGGGAACCAGTTTGGCAAAAAGATATATCAGGGTGCAACAGCCCCAGATTCTCAGAGAAGTTTCAGAAAGATGGCAGCTGAGACAGCATAACAAAGTCTGGCAAGTCAGGAGCAGGACCTACAGAAGAATGAAAGTGGATAAGACAAATGAATAGGCTATAAGACACAACATGGTTAAGTACAAAGGGTCTGGACATTTTGCATTAATCTAACGTTCACAAAGTGCTAGACATCTGGACAGAGATGAATGTCAAATTCCACTTTCACAAATAATTTCAAACTTCTTCTCTACCAATATTTGATCAAAACCATTGACAAGTTCAAAACAACTCTCAGTCACCATACAGCTCCTTTCTGTACCGATAGTTTCAGGAAAGAGAATAATGGGCATTAAAAAGCAAACAGTTCTTAGATTATCTAATTCTAATTCTAATTCTAACAAATTCTAACAGTTGGTATTCATCATGGGTAATCTTTGTCCAACACCCAGTATGTTGACACACTACTGGACAGAGTCACATCCAAGTGGAGATAGTCCTGACAAGCTGCCAGATGGGGACAGTGCAGTTAGGTTCCCAGTTGGGAGCCAGGAAACCTGGTTTCTAAGTTTTTCTTCTCACTTATAACACCATAACTGACATTTACAAAGCACTTTGTAAAGTTTCACATGAGGTTATCCACTTTGATACAATAACCATCTGAGAGAGATACTTTTATTATTTCACTTTACAAATAAGGAAACTATTCCTAGAAGAGGTTAAGTGCATCATATAGCTAGTATCTGAGATGGAATAAGAGCACTGATCATCCTTCACTCCAAGTGTAGTACTGTATACTACACGAAGCTGCCTGACCTACTGAGGGATCTGAATATGACTAAGTTGCTAAGTCCCTGTGTTTTTCATTTTCCTCCCCTATAAAATAAAGGTATTGGACTTGATGATTACCCAGGTCCCATCTAATTCGAATGTCTTATGCTTTCTTTTTTTGCTTTTTTTTTTTTGCACAGCTAGTAAGTGTTAAGTGTCAAGTATCTGAGATCAAATTTGAACTCAGGTCCTCCTGACTCCAAGGCCAGAGCTCTATCCACTGTGACATCTCGATTCCCCCTATTTTTTTTTTAAGAGAAGAAAATAAGCCCCTTCTCCCTGTGTCACCACGACCCACCACAACAGGAAAGATAGCTTTCAATCACCTGAATGATTGAGAAGAGAATTTAAATTCGGTCTGCTAGCTGATAGTGTCGTTGTTGAAGTAAGGAGTGTTTTGTTTTGTTTTTCCTCTTAGATAAATCTAAGATTGAGAATGGAAAGAAAGGAAAATGTTAGCTCTGCAGATGCCTTTTAACTGCTTCAGTTTGAAGTCTTCAGCTTGAGTTTATAAACAGCCATGTGTTTGCGCCTATACATTTTGTTCTTTTCTTCAAAGACTTTCCCAGAAAGAGGAGAAAACAAGAAGGAATAAATAAGAGGGAGAGAAGTGAATATTTAACAGTAGAACTTAATCTGTAACACAGGGTGTTTTTGCCCTTTGAGAAACTTTCATGCAATGTAAGATTTGAAGATTTGTTGAAGAAAATGTGGAAAAAATTGAGTTCATGAGAAAGTAAGAAAGGACACATTTCAAAAACCAATCCTATAAGATTTTTTCCTGTTTGAGTGATTTTTTTTCCCCTTGGGGCAAGGATGTATGTACTAGAGCTAACTCATACAGGCTGATGAGAGCCGATGGCTAAATTTTCAGTATGAATATTTATACACCAGAAATTAGCAAATGCTATCAATCAGGGCTTGATTTATTGTCCCGTTGATTGTCTAGACTTAAGAAAGTGATAGAGAAAACATTAACAAAGCAGATTAAAAGTGTGACAAAGAGCCAGATATTGAACATTTACTATCGCACCACATCTGATGGGAGAAAAAAAATAACATTTATCCAACTCATATCCAGGTGTGTATACCTAAAAACAATGATCCAAGGATAGCTTCCTAAAGAGTGCTGTCCTCTTATTGAAGTAGGAAACCTTTGTTTTCACAAGGATGAATGTCATTTAGAATTCAATAACTTCCCTGACCTTTGTACATTGCCTACCTTCATTCTTTTTTGCCAATAGGGCCATAACCCTGGCGATATAGGGCCAGGTTGAATAATACTCTATGCAGTGCCTTAGGATAATGGATTGAGAGTTGTAAGGAACCTTTGAGATCATCCGACTACTTCATTTTATAATGCAGGAAGCTGAGGACAAAAATAGGAAAATGATTTGACCTCTCTGGGCCTCAGTTTCCACATCTGTAAAATGAGGCAATTGGACTAGTTTATTTCCAAATTCCATTCTAGCTATAAATTCTATTATCTTACTATATAACTCTTAGACATCCATTTCACCTGTAAAAGGGACCTTTAATAATAGGGCCATGATTGTAGTAAATAGGAGCAGCAGGATTTGAACACAACAGGTCATATCACTCTGGGGCCAGTGTTCTTTTCCCTTTAACTTTTTATTTTTTGAATGAGTGAAATAGGTAAAATGAACTGTTTAAAACAAGTGATCAAGGTCAGATCTGAAGGATAAAAGGAGTGGTGTCACAAAAGAGCAAAATAGAGCAAAAAACAAAGGGAAGATGGGAGGATTTGGGGAAGTGGGAAGAGGAGCACTGTTGCCTGGCAGCTGGCATTCCCTTGGTGATGGGGTGGGTCATGTGCTGATTATGTGCACATGAGCACCTCAGTTGTTTTGTTTTGACGTGTCAATTGGTGGTGTCACCTTCTCCACCCAACTGGAGCTCCCTGAAAGGCTTCAGCTTACTAATCCTAGAAGCACTGGGGGGAAGTAGTGAATAACACTGTCAAGACTAAAGATCTCTACTTTTTTGAGACTTGCTGATGAGCAATTGAATTCAAAAGTCACACAGAGAACACTGAATAAAGAAATCTGGCTCTTGTGGCTAGGGAGCTCTGGCATTTTGTGTTACATTTTAAGTTCAGCTGTCACCTGTGTCAAGGTCAGTACCTGGGGCCACTCAACTGTGTGATTTTGGGCAAGTCATTTGACCTCTCTGGGCCTCAGTTTCCACATCTGTAAAATGAGGTGATTGGACTAGTTTATTTCCAAATTCCATTCTAGCTATAAATTCTATTGTCTTACTGTATAACTCTTAGACATCCATTTCACCTGTAAAATGGACCTGTAATAATAACCTTGTTCTACAGAGTTGCTGGGAGGTTCCTCAGTCTAGAGCTACATAAGGACCTTAGAAATCAGGCAGTCCGGTCTCCTCTTTTCACAGATAAGGAAACTGAAGGTTGCAGAGCCTTGCCCAAGGTAACACAGGTAATGTTACTATCAATGGCAGACCAGGGCCATTCGAACTCATTGAGCAAATACAGGTTCAGCACTCCAAATTCAGTGTTCTTCCCACTGCACCACACAAATAAGATAATGTGCTTGAAATCAGTCTGAAATTTGTAAACCTTAATACCTATGTAAAGGATTATTATATTCCTCCTCTGTAAATTAGAAATGAAAGCGCTCAAATGTTGCTCCGTACTGTGACTGTGAACCTTAATTCGGTAATGTCTGTCAACAACGGGTTGCAGACTTCCAAGCCATCCTTATTGTTGGTGCTAATATCCAAGGAGACGTGACTCTTTTAGCCCCGTCCCCAATTTGCCTAAAATACAAGATCCACTTCCGTGTATGATCTCTTGGCTAAGAGAGCAATCGGGTGGGGTGGGGGTGGGATGTAAAATCTGATGCTGCAGCTTTACAGAAATATTCCTGGGCATGCTGAACATTCAACTGTTGACAGCACGTAAGACCAAGAGGAAGAAGCTTAGGGTATGAAATAATAAGTAAACAGCTTCTTCGTTTGGCGCGACCTCAACCCAACTGGTCCGAGAAAAGGGGAAAGAAAGGAGGAAGGAGGGAGGAGCCAAGCAACTGAAGTGACAGACAGCCCAAGAGCAAGCCAGCCAATCGCAGCTCCCTTTGGCATGGACCAATCGCTGCCTGACTTGCCATGCAAATCTGCCCTGCAGTGAAGCAGGCAGAAAATGGGGCTGGGCGTAGTAGGGGAGGGGCTGCTGGGGAGTTGGTTTGCTGTCTATGACACTCCTGGAAGCCTTTCAGGAAGCTGCAGCACGGGGTGGGGGGAAATTCTTCAAGGAGTAGCTGTGAGAATGATTTACGGGCAGGGAGAACAGATGTAGCAGCCGTCTAGTGGCACATTCACGAGTATACATCAGGCTGCATGTGGTGCCCGCACACCCGGGTATACAGATTATGCATATGTTGCCTGTGCACCTGCCCGGTGCGTGCCTCTGGGTGAAGGTGCTCCTTGGGCATTTATTTGCTCAGGCCTACCTTCCCCTGCTTGTGAGGGCGTGTAAGAAGTTTAACCAAGCTGGAGCTGAGAAGATTAAGTCCCTGGAGCATCTGGGCTAGAATAGAAAGGACAGGGGATTTCGGAGCCTGAGCGCTGGGAGCCACAGATTCCCACCCCACTAGTTCTAGCTAGAAGGCATTTTTTGAAGGCTGGGATGACAAAGAAGAGTGACCCTGAAATAACTACAAAGCTTGGGGCGATGCTCACTGAGTGAGTGACTGAGGGGTGAGAACAGATGGTTTGTTGATGACAGGAATGTTAGCATTTAGGAAAGCGAGGAAGAAACTCAGAATGGGGACCATATGCTCCCCCACCTCAGGAGGGACAAAGACCGTGGAAGTCTGCAATGCCGACTGGATGGGCTCGCTCCCCCGTCGCCTCAGCACATTACCCCTTTCCCATCTGGCTATCCCAGGTATTCTTCTGATTTCCTATTTATTCCTAGGATGTTTTTGTGCCTTTGCAATATTTGGGAGCTTGGCTATGTTTTTTTCTATCATGTAGAAAAAAAAACACAATTTAATTTCCTGAACTTAAGGGTTTTTTTTAAGCCCTAACTTAACAGTGAAATAGTTCTTTTGGAGAGAGATTTGTAATTACATTGCAGAGGGGATAAGTGAGGAGGAAAAAAAACCCCAACAAACTTGTTTTCTGTTGGTTTGACACTATAACTTTAAGATTCAGTTATCCTTATGGTGCAGTTGGAGGAGATAGTTGGGAGTGGGAGGGGGGCTGCTTATTTGTTTCTTTAAAAGAAAAAGGGTGGCTGGTGACCATCTCATTTGAAAATTCCCAAACCGTGTTAAGGCTGGTACTGAGAAATGTTTCCTGTTTAATTGGTTGTCAGACCTTGTTTCTTTGACAAGCAAACAATAAATAGCTCTGCATCAGAGAACAGATGCAGAGTCGAGAACTGATAGAGAGCACATCTGTTTCACTTGTTGGAAAAGACAGAAATAGAGAATGTAAGCACTCATCACAAACAGACACAAGCAGTCATCAGGTGTGATGAGATGGTGTTATTTCGGGCACAGTCTCTAAACCTGAAACTCTGGGCAATCTTGAACTGGGATCTTTGAGATTTTTGTTCTAGCCACTATTACTCTGCTGAGTATTGTATTTTTGCTTCAGTCTCATCAAGAATATTAATAAAAGGGGCCTTCCATTTTTTTTATCCTCCAGATCAGTGAGAATGTTTATTCTAAAGTGGGGCTATTTAGAATGGGATAAACTTCCACAAAGTAAGAGCTGGGCAAATTCCTATAATGCCCTTCCTCCAAACATTGTTTCATAGATTGGGGACAAGATCCTCACTATTCTTTTCTTTAATTTGAAAAAATACAAATGGCTACTGTAGGCTATCCAGGCCCCTCCTCCACACATACATATACACACACATGCACATACACACACACACACACACACACACACACACACACACACACCATAATGCAAATGTCCAACTGCTCTCAGAGTAGCCTGACCTTGCTGCCAACTAGGCAGAGGGTCCTTAGTCAACCCTGAATTTAAATATCTTCCTTTGCTGTTCAAGGGTGAGGAGTAAATATGCTTTCATTTTCTCACCTCCTTCGCTGGTCACAGGACTTAACTTAATACTGAGCCCACAACCTCTCCTGCTCTTGGATGAGAGGAGTAATGTTGTATTGACTGGTTTGGCAAAAAAAAAATTATATATGTGTGTGTGTATATATATATATATATATATATGTATATATATATATATATATACATATATATATAAAATATAAGTATATATATATACATATATATATATAAATATATATATACATATATATATATATATATAAAATATAAAATATATGTGCTTGTAATTAACAAGCTATTGGCTTTGGCTTCTTGGAAAATGCCTGGTGGTCATGCTTTAGAATTGTTTTAAAACGTTGGAGTGAAGAGAGGGGGGGAACTTGATTTAAGGAAAACCTTTTATCCTTGCTATAACACTTACTAGCTATGTGATCATGAGCTTTACCTATCTGAGCCTCAGATTCCTCATCTATATACTGGCCTAGTAATAGTGCCTATTTCACAGAATTCCAGGATAGAGCCCTGGACTCAGAATCAGGAAGACCTGAGTTCAAATCCTACCTCAAACATTTAATAGCTGTGTGATCTTGTGCAAGTCTCTTTCAGCCTCACTTTCCTTATCTGTAAAATGGGGATAATAATAACATCAGCCTCAGAGGATTGCTGTGAGGATCAAATGAAACGATATGCATGTAAAGCACTTTATTAACCTTAAAGGGGTGTATATAAATATTAGCTCTTATTATTATAATGTATTGACAGTGCTTTCTAGACCTTAAAGTGCTTTATGTGAATGTTGGTTATTATTACAATTGTTATTATATTTAATTACAATCTACAGAGTCAACACAAATTATCTCTGTCACATCCAGCATTAGTCATTACCCCAGAAAGCATTATTATAGTAGAGTTGCTACATGGTTTGGTATGGCTAGCATATGATTGCCATTTAGAAAGGAATCTTAGGCAGGGCTTACATTGCTCTGCCATTCAGGGTATGTAAACAGGTTGTTGTTTCTTCCTCTCTTATTATATTTTGGTCTGACCTGAGATCGGCACCGTAACTATTGGTATAGCCCTGCAGCTCAATAGCCAAAGCAGTCTGGCCAAGCTACACTGGAGGGCAATCAAGCCTTTGCTATGAATATTTCATTTCATTTTTGCCTTTTACTAGGAGAAGGGAGGGAGAATGACTTGCTGCCACCAGTAATTCTGGCTCATGTCCTTGGCATCATGGAAATTTACCCATCTTGTTTTGTGGAGACAAGGAAATCCTGTTAAGAAGTCAGGTGAGGGGTAGCCCCATATTGTTCATCACAGAATCTGTATGGTCATAAATTAAGTCACTTTCCTGCAAGATTACTTTCCTAAAGATGAACCAATAAAAGAGATTCAAGATGGTCAATCATCCCAGAGAAGCAAGGGGGCTCCTAGGAGAGCTTGTTATTTCCTTTTTATTCCTCTCAAGAATCCTGAAAATACAGTGCCCCCTAGAAAAGAGCTAGGCAGTAATGGCCTTGTTCTATTAATTCTTTCTGAAATTCCAGCCTAGTAGCTAATTATTGAAACAGAGTAAAGGAAACTTAAAAGAGTTAACACTATTCCCAGGGAGCTGGTGTGGAGGCAGTGAGAAAGATCTCTACATGAAACTTCCTCTCATAAATTATGCTTTCTGAGTGAGCTATTTTTTATGTGGGGGAAGGGAGAGAGGAAAGAAGGGAGGAGATGTGAGAGAGAAGGAGAAAAGGAGAGGGATGAATAGAAAGGAAGAGAGAGAGAGAGAGAGAGAGAGAGAGAGAGAGAGAGAGGAGTAATTTTTATCCTGGGGAAAATGTACTTCTGTTTAGAATTGGGACAAAGTTGGTCTGTAATTTTAAACTCAATGATTGGATCTCATGTTTTTTACATGCTAATCTGTCATTCAGAATTGGACTAGCATCTGCAGAGAAGGATCAGCTCTGTCAGGCTGAGGGAGGCAAGAGAGGATTCCAGGGTTTCAGACAGTAACTATTAGGTTGAGATTGGCTATATCTAGGTTGAGGCTTGGGTGCACCTGCTCTATCTGCCTAATACCATGATATGTGTGAACACATGTGCATATATCCTCTTAACATAGCTTTGTCATGTTATGTCATTTCTACAACTGTTGAGAACACCTGTTAATGACTAGTGTCACTGTAAGGCTTAGAAATGCTTAAGGAAAGCATCTTTGATATTACATAATAGCACAGAATCACAATATGATGCCTTAAGCCTCAAAGAATCAGAGGTAACAAAGATTAGATTAAAAAAAATTAAAACACAAAAATATTTTTAAAACTTCTAGGCATTATTTTAAATAACAGTAGAGAAAAATGTGACATCTTTTGTTGTCCCATGGGTTTATGAAAGGGCTCTTGTCATGTAATATATACACTGCTTTTCACCTACCCTTCAATAGTGAATTCTTTTTTTTTTTAAACACTGTGTTCTTTAGGGTTTTTTCCCCTCTCTGTTAATTTGCTAAACTGTGCTTTTCTCTTTCATGAGAAGATAAAATCGAAGGTGTAGTGAGCAGATCACTGGACCAAGTCAAATCCTTTAGTTTTTAATCCTAGCTCTGCCTCCAATTAACTACCATAAGTATGAATTTCACTTCACCCTTAGACTCAATTTCCTCATTTTGAGTCAATAATTTAATGCAAAAAAAAAATTAATTGCCTATATAGTTGCCTATATATTGCCTATGTAGTTCACTTTTTTCAGTCATGTCCAATGCTTCATAACCCCATTTATTAGGGTTTTCTTGGCAAAGATATTGAAATGGTCTGCCATTTCCTTCTCCAACAGTGTGCAAGGTACTGATGCCAAAACAAAGACAAAACAAAACAAAACAAAAAAACCAGTCCCTTCCCTCAAGAAACTTGCACTTTAACATTCTACTGGTGAGATATAATATATACACATAAGTCAATGCAAGATAATTTAAGGAGAGGAAGGATACCAGCAGCTACTAGGAATTGGAAAGACTTCTCATAGGAGGCGACATCTTAGCTGCATCTCTAAGGAAGCTAAGGATTCTAAAAGAAGGCAGTGAAGAGGGAGTACATGTCAGGAATGGGGAGTGAGCTTGTGCAAAGTAAGACAGAAGAACAAGTATTCTGCGCTCAAGGAACAGCAAGAGAGGCCAATTTGGCCAGACCACAGAGTGCACAAAGTGACAGTACGGCAAAGGCAATAAATCACTCGATCTGAAGTCAATATGAATTGAGTTTGAATCCCTTCTAAGATAGTAGAGCAAGTCACTTATACTCTCTGATCCTTAGTTTCCTCATCTGCAGATCTGAATGATGGTTAGCACCTACTTCCCAGGGTTTGTGGGAAGGGTCAAGTGAAAAAATACGGGGGCATCTAAGTGGCACAGTGGATAGAACACTGGCCCTGGATTCAGGAGGACCTGAGTTCAAAAATCTAGCCTAAGACACATAACACCTACTGGCTATGTGACCCTGGACAAGTCACTTAACCCCATTGCCTAGATGAAAGAAAAAATTGGTACCCAGGCTTTTCTCCTCTCTTTCTTCATTAAGGTCCAGCTCGTATGGAACGTCAGCCTCTGAAGGACATAACTGATTGAGATTACCCCTAACCTTCAGGAAACATGCTTTTCTGTCTTGGACTAACTAGGAGACCTTACTTCTGTTCAGAATCTAGAGGTCTAGGCGAGTTCTTACCCCAAGGAAAAGGAGCCCTGTTCTTGTACCATTCCATTAGAGTTTAGGGTGACCCATCTCCTGATGGAGAAAACCAACTAGAGTGGTCTGGGTATAGACAGATTCCCATGTCCAGATTGCTGGAGGCAGCTGAGTT